CGTCCACGTCCGCCGCGCCGCCCACCGCGGCCTGGGACGCGTCCGCCGCCGCCACCGTCACCGCCAACGGCGCCAGCGGGTACTCCGCCCCCAGCGCCCCTTCGGGGCCCGGCGCCCCCGCCGCCCCCGGCAAGGGCTCCAAGAAGACAAAGCAGATCCAGATCATCGTGCCCTACACCATCGACAAGGAGAGCGGCCAGGTAAGCGAGAAGGCTGAAAAATGTTGAGCGTTGTTCGTTGTTTCGTCGCTTTGTCTTCCTCGCGCCTCCGGGGCGCCCCGTGAGTGCGACGGAGACGGACTCCTCGGAGTGGTCTCACCGCCGTGCGGTTCCAGGTGCGGTTGCACAGCGAGCTGATGCCGGACGAGCTGTCGGGCGCCGGCGCCGAGTCGGAGGGCGTCATCTCGTACACGCCGCCGCCAGGCCTGCCGCCGTCCGCCGGCGCGCTGCCCTCCGGCCTGGAGGCCCTGGTGCAGCAGACGGCCAGGAAGGTGCCGCACCCACCGGCCGCCGCCAACCACCAGCAGCCGCAGGCCCAGGAGTCCGTGGTCGTGGCCGAGCTGAGCCCCACGCCGTGGCACTCCGCCGCCCCCCAGCAGGACAAGGCCGTCGGCGCGGCCGACCCCTTCGCCGGCCTGCAGCACATCCTGGCCACGGACCTGCGCACCCTGCTGCGCAACGAGGAGGACTCGGTGGACCGCCTGCGCCTGCAGAAGAACATCGACAACTGGACCGCGCAGGTGAGGGAGAAGTTGGCCAACTCTAACTAGCTCCTTCTCGAATAAAATTTGTCGCCTGGCAGCTCCTCTCATGGCAACTTGTATCTCTTCTTCCTTCAGGAGTACTCCTCCCTGAAGGCGACGAGGGACACTGAGGCGCAGGAGGCCAACCCCGGCGTGGTGACCTTCAACTTCACGTCCACCACGGCGTCGGTCGGCACCTCCGCCTCCTCTTCGGCGTCCTCGTCAGCCTCGTCGTCGGCATCCTCCGTCCACGGCAAGCTCAACCCGTCCAAGAACATCCCCAAGGAGTACCTGACGACGACGCCGCTGTCCGCGTCCCCGACGCCCAGCACGACGCCGGCGCCGACGGCCAGGTCGACGCCGCGACGCAAGGGCACCGAGCCCACCAAGCGGCCCGCCAAGATCCACCACGTCCGGAAGAACGCGACCCGCGACGACCGCAAGACGAAGAACGGCTGGACGCTGGTGGACAACCTGGTGGTGCCCGGGCCCAGCAGCACCGCGTCCACCGCCGCCACGCCCGACAACCACCGGTCGGAGCAGACCCGCGCGCCCTGGGAGCGGCTGCAGGTGTCCATCTCCCCGCTCACCAGGGAGAAGGTAGGCCAGTGGCGCCAGCGCCGAGGCCAGTGCAGTATCGTCCTCGCAGATGTTCAAACCCCGTCTCTTTGCAGGTGTACGTCGTGACCCCGCAGACCCCGGCCAACGGCGAGGCCACGACGCCGAGCCCCACGGCCGCGGCGTCCACCAGTGCAGGCACCACGGCCACGGACGCCGACAAGCACGTCAACATCAACGACCTGAGCCCGTTCCGCAAGTGGATGGACGTGCCAAGCACCACGCCGTCGCCCGCGCCGTCGGCGTCCTCGTCCACGCAGCACACGCGGCCGCGGTTCTCCATCCGGCCCACGCCCGGCTGGCCCAAGCCCAGGCCCCACGGCTTCAGGAGCACGCAGGCCACGCAGGCCACGCAGTCCCAGGCCCAGACCAGCGCGGCGACCACCGCGGCGCCCACCGCCGAGCGCCTGGCGTCCACAGGTAGGCAACCCATCCGACGAGGGTGACGGGCGGGCTGACCACCGCTCCATTACCATTACTACTAGAGGCTAGACCACTGTCACAATGAAATCGGACATTCGCGACGTGATGTTGAAACTGTTACCCCTCGCCTCTGCAGGTTCTGAGACGACACCCACGCCCGTCACCGACAAGGTCACCAAGTCCTCCCGCGCCACGCCGCGAGGCTTCGCCGTCGAGACCATCTCCGGACACTCAAAGGTAACGAACCGATCCGGTCGAGGGTTCGAGTCCCGCAAGCGAGTTGTGCCCAATGTCTCACTTTCCGTTTTTCCTTTCAAGGTGTTCACCGCCACCACGTCGACGTGGTCCAAGAACAAAAAGGCGGTGGACTCGGACGCCAAGAAGAGCACGACGGCCAAGCCGACGACGGCGAGCGCCAGCAGCAGGACGACGCGCGCGCTGAAGCTGTCCGAGGACAACGCCGAGGACAAAGCCGAGGCCGTGACGGTGGCCCCCGGCGACGCGCTGAGTAACCACCGCGTCGACCTGAGCGACATCGACGCCGAGGCCAGCGCCAGCGTGCTGCACCGCCACGTCGCGCAGCTCACGCCGCTCGGCACTGCCATCCTCAAGGCCACCGTCGAGGCCACCACCACGGAGCACCCCACGTCCTTCGTGACGCCCAGCAGCAGCGGCGCTGACGACGCCACCACGGAGACGCCCATCGTGCCCGGGCCCGAGATCGTTATCGTGGAGAGTCGCAGAGAGGTGACTACGGCCGCCACCACGGCCGCCACCACGGCCGCCACCACGGTGGAGACGACGGAGGCCAGCACCACGGCGTTGGACGCCTCCACGACCGCAGGCTTCACGGCCTCCGCCGTCACCGAGGCCACGTCCTCGCGGACGACGCGCGCCGTCAAGACGATCGGTCGTCGGCCAGACGGCTCGCGGTACATCCTCACGGACGAGGAGGCCAAGCAGCAGAACGGGCTGGCCGCGCAGCGCACCAAGCTGCAGGTAAGTGCTGGACGCGGTCGCCTGGCTCGCAGGGCTCCTTGCCATCTTGACTCTGTTTAGCCAACGCTTCGTCTGTTCCAGGCCGTCACCACCCCCAAGAAGTACGAGTCCCCGCCGCCGCGCCCCAAGCCCCAGAAGCAGGCCGCCGCCGAGGCGCTGTTCCGGCGCAAGCCCAGCCGACGGCCACCCCACCTCGTCATGACCCCCGACAGGGGCTCCTACCTCTGGAACTTTTCCGAGTTCTCGGGCACGTCCCACGAGGACATGGTGGAGGACGACATGACCGCCATCAAGGGCGCCGTGGTCGAGCTCAAGAAGGAGTCGACGCCAGGGGAGGCTGAAGCGGCCTCGGCCTCGGCGTCGACGTCGTCTTCGGTGACGGAGACGACGTCGACAGCGGCGCCTGCGTCGTCTTCGACACCAGCGGCCTCCCCGACGTCGCCACCACCGCCAAGCAGCGCACAGCACCAGCGCCGAGCCAGCGGTGTCGGCAGCGTGAGAGTGGCGGGCTGCGTGGCTGCGTGGCTTCGGCGCGCGCTGTCCGCCTACAAGAGGGGTAAGACACCGACGGACAGTCGCCAGACGTTGCACACGGCCCCCACGACCCCCACGGCCCACGACAGTCACGAAGGATGATGCCAGGCCATCAACGGCACTTTTGCCTCGACTAAATTATCTCAGGGAACGTCACCCAATCCTCTTCCTTGAAAAGAAATTTTGGCTAAATTGATAAGTTTCGGAGATGTTTCCAAAACAAAGACGAAAAAATGTAGATACGTAGTAATAATAATAAGTTACTTTATTTATCACATTTGTGTGGTTTCCTTGCTTATTGTAGGTAACAAGCAAGTGAAAACTCCTGCTGTACCTTCAAGACTGATTGGACCGTTTTAAGTTATTTGTATTGTTAGTCATGACAAAAGGAGACACCACAAAGGATGGGAGTATACTGTGAAATGGTGGGTTGACATAGTGATAATCTTTTATTTGCTTTAGTTTGAAAAAATTGAAGGAAAGGGTGAAATCTTTTCTACTGCTAACATTTGCCTTACAAAAAGCCTTTTGTATTTTAAAGAACCCATATTTAAGCTGGTTGAGAGTAATTCATGTTTTTCTCCTTTGTCGAAGAGACGTAAATTAATTCTTCCTTTTCTTCACTTTGCTATCAGTAATATTGAATGTCCTGTTTCAAAATACTCTTGTAAATACCAATTATCAGTCAGGAACCAAAAAAGAGGAAAACGAGGAATAGCATGATCAGGGTGTCTTATCAAGCGTATTTTCTCGGCAGTATTGTTTATAAGTGTTTTTTGATTTTGCTGAAATACTGTCACACTTTCCCTTTGTATTTATAGAATCAATATCATGTATGTGGTACCTGATGTACAGTAGCTCGGGTATCCAGAGCAAAGGGATTGAGGGCACTTATTACAATGTAAATATGACCGAAATTAGTGTTTAAGGAAATTTTAGTGCCCAAGTGTGTCAGGAACTTGCCCAGGAATTGTATTGTACAAAGGAGAATGATTTATATCCTCTTGCCCATACGGCTGAAGGCCTTCTAAGCCGCATTTGGGCTTAAAATTTTTACTGCTTTGCTCTTGCTCATACTGCACAACCATTTCCTGATTACGTTCATACGATAGAAATTTGTTAGATTAAGTGTGGTCTATCTTATTGCCATAAATTATGCATGTGTGTGTGAGTGTGTGAGTGCGTAAGTGAGTGCGTGTATGGGGAGCGTCTTATTGTATAATCCGTGATCTACTATGTATGTTTGAGCTGGATGATGAAGCAAATAGTGATTCAATAAATTAAACATATCTGAACTACAATTGTATTTGTATTTTGTTCCTTTGGCGCATTGGGGGCATCGTCAAAAATTCACTCCACAAAACAGGATTTGAATTAAGCACAACACCCACCCTACCCACCCACCCCTCCCCTCAGGAGGTCATGAGCCGGCTTCCTTTGAAAGTCGCGGTTTTCAACCTATTTTCGGAATAACCAACTTATCTTTTAGACAGCACTGAACTACACATCAAAGTGAAGGCGCTAGGTTGCTTTTCAACGAAAAGATACTTTTTATAGTAACAAAATAGATTTCACTTTTTAGCAATGTCAGTAAAGCAGAAAATCCTGTAAATTCTCCTCAGTTTGGAATAGAAAAAAATGTGTTGGCTGCTCTGAAAGGGCTCCCTTTCTGCTGAGGGTTTGTGACGTCAGAGCCGGAGAAAAAACAACAACAGAGAACGTGGTTTGTTTTGTTCATCGATGTTCTAGAGCGAGGAAGAAGGCGCACGTCGACGCACGTGTGTAGAAAACATTGAAAACGGGGGTCTTGCCCGTCTCCCTCGCGCGTGGACTGTTCGGCCGTGGGTTTGCATCTTTGGCAGGTGGGTGTCACTTGAATTTCAAGAGCGAGGAAAGCACCAACGAATTTGAACGCACTTCACACCCCTGGAAGCCTATTCTACGCCCTTCCCTGACGTTTCAAGTCATTAGGCGTGTTGTCAGATGTTTCCACAATCGATTCAGTGCTGCCTTGACCGTCATTTGTAAATTTTCCTCATTTCCATCACGTTTGAAGAATTTGTTGACGCTTGTGCAACTTCGGTGTTGCCTTGCTGGTCGAGGTTATGTTTGCTCCGTCATCATGATGATGTCAATTCTGTGTATTGTGTATTAATGCTCTGACTTTTATTTTGGAATTAGATGTATTTTAATCCCAATTTGCTTACTTCATGCCAAAATCTTCTTGCAGGTACCATGGTGCACTCAATGCGTCCCCTCGTTCTGGCTGGACCATCTGGTTCAGGAAAGTCGTCACTCTTGCGCCTTCTGTTTGAGGAATTCCCTGACAAGTTTGGATTCAGTGTGTCTCACACAACACGATCACCTCGCCCTGGTGAAGAAAATGGCAAGCATTATCATTTCACCACACTGGAGGAGATGAAAGCTGCCATTGAACGGGGTGAATTCATAGAAAGTGCCACATTTTCAAATAACATGTATGGAACAAGGTAAGCAAGTCCTTTAATGTCAATCTTAAAATTCAGTTGCTGTCGCTTTCATGTGAAAGTTTTCATTGGTTTGATTTCTAACTTTGAATGTTTTGTAGCAAAGCTGCAGTTAACGCTGTTCAAGCAGAAGGCAAAGTTTGTGTACTTGACATTGAAGTGGAGGGAGTCAAGCAGGTCAAGCTGACAGATCTGAACCCCCTTTTCGTTTTCGTAAAACCACCCTCCATGGAAGAACTGGAGAAGAGGTTGCGGGCTCGCAACACTGAAACAGAGGACAGCTTACAGAGGAGGCTGACCACAGCTCGTTCTGAGCTGGCTTACGGTATGTGCTATCTGCGACTTGGTTCAACGATCTTCGTTGACCTACTATTTTCTATTCGTTTTATACTTGCAGCCGAAGTTCCTGGAAACTTTCATCTGGTCTTGGTCAATGACAGTCTTGAGAAGGCCTACATTCGCCTGCGAGACTTTATTCTTAGTGACATGGAAGCTGCAAGCCCCAGCTCTGCAGGTAAGTTATTTCTTTGAATTGGTTAGACTGCTTTACAGTAATGGTTACCCAACATTTCACAAAATTATCGTCATGCCCTAAGAACTATCACAACTTTTAGATAGAGCACAAATTTGCATGCATTATTTGAAGTGGGTTATTTCATGTCAGAAAGTGCCATGCAATAAAAAGATTCAGAGGAAATCACTTTTGAAATATGTGTGTATTGCTTCACTGTGTGCAAAGTGCATGTGTTTGTTTTTGTTTTGTTTGTTTGTTTTTGTTGTGTTTTTTTTTTCACTCCTTGGTTTTTTTGTTTGATTTTTTTTTTCTTTGGGGGGAGGGTTTTTAATTATCTTAATGTGGGATGCATCATTCATGGCATCATTTTGAGGGAGATTACAATGGTTCTGCCTCTAGTCTAATCCAAATAAGAGTAGTTTGGATTATTTTCTTCACCACACGGCACCAACAGTGTAATGTTGCTTTACATGGGGATTCGTAATTCAGTGTTAGCCTGTTAAACTGATTTGAATAGTACTTCTGGTATTTGCTTCATTGCATTCCTTACTCTTGGTTTTTAACTGAATCAAAATGCTTTCATATGTGCTGTTGCTGCAGACTTTTGGTGCTGCCTGGGATCAACTTCATCAGATCGTACATCGGATGATTACTACTATATGTCCACCAATCAATCAGTTGCTAATGCAACGGTTTCCGGTATTAATAACTCATCTGAGAATGCTGTTGATGTCAACAATCCATGTGGAAGCCTCACTGATGATCGACCCTCATGTCAAGCGGATTCCTCTGCAGGAAATGACTCTGCTCAGGGATGTGATAACTCTGGGGAAAGGAACAATTCATGGGGGGCTGCTGATTCTAGTGGGGGTGGAGGCATTGAATCAAGTAGTGGATGCGATTCTGGTGGTGGCTTTGACTCGGGTGGGGGCTGTGACTCGGGTGGGGGCTGTGATTCGGGTGGTGGCTGTGATTAAGTGGGGAAATGCAAATATAAATGTGATCCTATAAATGCCTTCAGCTTATAAAATTTTTGAGCTATTTTTTCACTTATAGCGCAATTTCTTTACTCTTTTATAAGTTAATACTACTAATGGTTCTTTTTTTTAAGGTTCTTGTTCTACAGTCCAAGCCTGCCTCTTAAGGGAACTAAGGTCTTAACCGTACTTGCTAGCCTCTATGTGGGAAAAAAACTGAACAGAGACTGCTAATTTTTCAGCATATTTCATCTAAGGACATTTGAATATTTTTTTAACACTGTCCCTGAATTTTATTCCTCACCCATCTTATTCTCATTCAGTTTGCTGAGTTTTTTCTGACTGATGTGGGCTGGTCTTTTGGTCTATTTTTTCTCCTCCTTTCTTAAGATATCTTTTTCTTTCATACAGACACAACCAATCATGGCTAGATAGATGGGCCCCATGGAGAGACCTTGTCGTAATGACAGGTTTGAGGAAGAGTATTGGAGCAACTCAAGTTTGCCATTAGCAATACAGATTATTCTGCTGTGACTAGGAAGTTGAGCTCGTAAGGGTAGTATTTCTCCTGTTACTTCTTTTTTATCATTTTGTCCCTTTTAAAATTAATTACGTTTAGTCTCACTTTTTCTGTAGAAAGAAGTTTTGCTTACTAGGATATGGATATGTGTACTAACGTTTTTTGATTAATTTTGTGTCATTCCATATTTTTTCACTCTGTAACTGGATATCATGTAACTTAATGCCTGTTATCAAGAAAGTGTTTGTTTTTGTACTGGCTTCTTATGTCAAGTTTGTGCTTTATCAATTTCTGTCAAAAATCAATTTCTGTCTTTTGATAATGATCTTTTATCTTTATTTAGCCAGTGAATCAGACCACTAGTCTTAACTTATGTAGTGAAGTTACAGCAACTGCCTCTGATATTGTGATGTACTTGTGATTTTAACTTGTATGGGTATTCCATGTGTGCTAGTATTAACAAGGGATTGTTTTGGAATTTGTGAGGCATTTTCTGGATACCACCTCCAATATGCATTTCAGTCTACTAAGCTTGTTCTTCTTTCTCAGAATTACACACAAATTCTCTTGCCTAAAAGATGAGGTTCCATCCATTGATGTTTTAATCTCATATAATCCATAAAGTAGGACTTTTTTTACGTTGAATTTTTGTTGGACCTTCGCAGGGTACTGAGTACTCCTGGATTAGTATTAATTAAGTAGATTGCGGTAGAAGTTGTTACACATGATAAATTGTGAGAGTACTAGTTCTAGCCTGAGCTGCTTGAAAGTTAGACAACTGCCTTGCTGGCACATGCTGTTTGGGTTGCTGAAATGTTGCAATTTTGGATTGGAGTTGACATTACAAATGAAACTCGGCTCTTTCACTTCATTTGCATTTAATTTATTAGTCTGATTTACTGTTAGGCCATATTGTCCTTGTTTTTCAATTATAGTAAGGTTTTGAAGTAGTTTGTGTTAAACATTGCAGACTGTGGGCCACGAGGCAGCTGTTACTGGCATAATGTAAACCAATAAATCAATTGCTAAGACAAATATACCAAGAAGCATTTACTTCATTCCTTATTGAAGTGAAAAATATTCTCAATGTTTCCTTTCCCCTACATGGTCATAACGAGAGTGTTTAGAGAAACTTCGGTTTCCTTTCTACTCTATTATCACATAAGATTACCATTTAGGTTTTATCCTACATACTGGTCCCAACATACTTTCACAAGAGCTGACAGGCAAATGCAACTAATATACATAAACAATGTAAGAAACAAACTTAAACAAATGCTAGAAGTCTTAGTAATTAATCACAATTGGGCTGTAAACCAGCTCCATTATCATCTTAAAATGTCAGGTACATAACAGACATGCAAGACTGGAAAATCAAGCTCTCAGCAACCAAATTAAAAATAAACATTTTTTTCTGTTAAAGAAATGACTTGAAAACAAGCTTGTAAGCAATTCTCTTGAAACATGAGAAAAAGCTGGAACTGGTGTACTAAAGACAGGTCTTCCCAGAAAACCTTAAACAAAGCCGATCATGTCTGCAGTCGATGGTTACTGATATCGAAATGGGTAGTATCGTCATCATCGCCATCATCTGAATCCAGTGGAGCCATTTCCAAATCATCTCTATTTCCTACAACTCCATATCGGTGAATCTGAGTTGGTCGCTTTCCGAAGCTGCAGGAGAGAAACATTCTGAATATTAATAGACACTTCTGAAGTACTAAGGATAATAGGATACATGATTTTCTACCTACCTTTTCCAAGCAATGTAAGCCATGACTATTATGCTCAGGCCAACAAAAACATAAAATCCTCTCATTAACGCCTCAGGGTTGAGTTTCTTGGAGAGGTCATCGCTGTCGTCGGATATGTGCACTATGCCCTCAGCCTCATTTGGGAGGGATGCACTGGCGTTACTAGGGGCTTTGGCACCAACTTCACACGGCTTAGAACCACAGTCAGGTTGGGAAGCGTTTCCGGGCTTGTCCCCAACTTTAGGGACTGTTGCATCACTGTGGACTAGCACCTGACTTTGCGAAGTGTCTGGGCCCCTTCCTGGAGATGGGGCCGACAGGGACCCGTCTGACTTGAAGACGACTGAGACTGTGATGAACTATTTGAATGGCTAATCCCTACCGGCTGCACGTCACTCGTGACAGTGCCACACATCAATGACATTAAAATTACTACAAGCGACAGGACTTTGGGTGACATGATAACACTTTTCGTGGCAGTAGTAGGGGACATGGTTGATCCAAACGGAGTTCTTCATCTGGCATCCGCGACCACACGGCTGAATTCTAGTTCCCACTTCCAGCTAGAGGCTCTTAGAATGTGTCAATGAGCTCAACGAAAAACTCATTACGTGGGTCATGTTCATTTTTCTGAGGTTATCTCCAAAATGTTTGTTTACTCGGATATCGGAACTGGAAACATGAGAAATGTAGCTCTATGTTTAAACGAGCAAATCTAAAATCCCGAAGCAAATGAGAACTCAAAATATTAAATAAATATCACTTCTTCGTTTTTTCAAAAAGTCAAACGTGGTCAAATGTGTCTGCTTCACCACATGAGTCACAAACCTTCATTAGCAGACTAGTGTTGGCTACACTGTTCGGTCTTTGTTTTTGTTGTTTCAGAATTTGTTGTTGTTGTTTACCGCTGGCGGTGGCTTTTCTGCTAGATTGCTCCCATGTAAACATTTATTGTACCGTCCGTCAAAGAAATCGTTTCAGGATGAATTGCACGCCACCAGTCTCTCCTCGAGTGTTTCATGCTTTACAAAGTTTGAATGTATCAGAGCTGCAGAAGTTCACCGAAGATGAAATACGTCCGATTTTGCCCTGTCTAGTTCGCATGAGTTTGATATCTCCTTTAGAATTGAATAACAAGTGCTCTGAAAATCGCAAAAGTATCCTCACATTACTCGCTGGCATAGACGTGGTCAATTCCCTCGTGGCTCTGCTGTCAATTGAATTTCACGTGTTGGAGCAAGATGTCAAGAAAGAGCAACAGTTGAGGTTAGTGTTGACAGCTGCACTGGGGATGTCAGATGAAGTTTTCTCTTGTAACGATCAACCATTCTAGTAATTTGTTCAAATTTATGTTACAGGCAAAAGATTGGCTCTGGTCATTCTGACGGACTCAATCAGAATCTGCCCAATGGAATAGCCATTGAGTTTGAACGCAGCCCAACGATAGAACGAATGAAACTTGTCTTAAGTGAAATATTCCTCATTAACTCTCAGGTTCGTTAAGTACCTCTGGATGGCTTACAATTTTATTATTTGATGAACGAAATGACCGCAGGTACAGGATCTCAAGTACATAATTACTTATTTTGCAGATTCAAGAACATGCTCGCAGTGTACAAGTTGCCCAATCGTCTGGGCAAATCAGTGGTCCACCAGAATTTTTCATGAAGCAATCAGAGCTTTTTGATAATGCTGTTTACATTGATGAAATATGTGATGTCATTTGTATCGCACTCGAAGAACTGCCCAGTATTTTAAACCACATTGAGGTTGTGGAAATCTTCCTTCACGTACAACATGGCCCTAGAATCATCTGTACTATCGTCGCCAACCAGCCTGATGTTTTCAGAGAGGGTATGCGACTTATTCAAAATTTTTCTTACCTTCACATTTTTGCTAGTGTTTATGCTATCTTATTTTCTGCCCCTAGTGTGCACAGCTTTGATTACAAATGGAGAAAAACAGGAAGAAGAAAGCTTAAGTAACCGTATCAGAATGCAAACGTTGAGCATGTTGTGCCAAATGAATCCACTTCAAGCACTCAGTATTCGGGCCAAATGTGTAAGTTTACATTTTATCTTTCATCTTGTCTCTTTCTGTCTTGTGTTGCTGACAAATTATTTATTGCTATGCAAAATGCGCAGGTTGAGCTGTGTCGGATGCCAGCCCTAGCAATCATGTTGACTCTGGGCAGAAGCATGGAGCACTTGGAGGATGCTGACAATATGGAAATTGATGATTCCGAGATGCCGGATGACAGTGATATCGTAGCTTTTGTGTCTGGACTTCTGCTTGGAAATGATCAACAGATCCGTAATTGGTTTGCCTTGTTTGTTCGCAATGGTCAAAAGGTGGGTCATAGGCTGTAGTAAATAAAATATTTAAACCAATTTCTTCATTTATTTTTAAAAATATTTTATCATTCACTCTTTAATTTTTCAGAGGAAGTGGGAATCGCATGCTGCATTACAACTACTTCGTAGAGCACTATTGAAGCGCCTGGAAAGCATAAACCGATTAGCGGCTGCTGGTGGAAATGTTGCAGACACTCTTGTGGTACAAGCCTCATCGTTACTTCGACTCTATTGTGCTCTGCGGGGCATTGCTGGGATCAAGTATGAGTTGAATTCTGTACCTCTTACTAAATAAGACGATTGATTAATGATGAATAGAAATGTGACTGACCTTGGGCATTCTGTCTCACAGGTTTCAAGATGAAGAAGTTAATGCACTCATTCAGCTGTTGACTTGGCATCCCAATCCCTCCACAGCCGGTGTTCGCTTTGTCTCTATGGGCTTATGCATGCTCATCGCATGCCCAACACTAATATCATTAGCTGAACATGAGAAAAAGGCCATTGAATGGGTGCAGTGGCTGGTGCATGAAGAAGCCTACTTTAAAAAGTGCGTTACTAGTTTTTGTTACAAAACCCTTTTAGAAAACTTGTCCTGTCTGTGATTAATTTAAGTTGCTTGTTCTTTTTCTTTTAAATATTCAGAGCTAGTGGAGTAACAGCCTCCTTTGGAGAAATGTTACTGCTGATGGCGATCCACTTTCACAGTAACCAACTTTCAGCTATAATTGACCTGGTTTGTTCCACATTGGGCATGAAGGTGTTGTCCAGATCCAACAACATGAGCAAAATCAAGCATCTTTTCACTCAAGATGTTTTTACAGAGCAGGTAGCTCTTACCTCCAAGTAACTCTTGTATGCTTTTCTCTACCCAATGTTTACTTTTCAAGTAATGTAACATACATTTTGCAGGTTGTAACTTCCCATGCTGTGAAGGTTCCTGTAACTCCAAATCTCAATGCAAACATGCAAGGGTTCTTGCCTGTTCACTGCATTCATCAGCTCCTCAAGAGCAGAGCATTCACCAAACACAAAGTACCAATTAAAGAATGGATTTACAGGTCCTTACATCTTTTTTAAAAAAATTGCTGAAGCCTTTTTTTTTAGTGTTGAATCACTATTAACAATTTAATTTTGTTGCTTACAGTCAACTTATATGCAGTGAACCTCCACTTCATCCTGTACTCCCTCCACTTGTGGAAGTCTACGTGAATTCTATGCTGGTGCCTAGTGCCAAAGCTCCATTAGAGTCAGTAAACCAGCCCATCACAGAAGATGAAATTAGGAGTGTTTTTCAAAATTCATTTTTTGGGGAACTGTTTGAGAACAACAGCAAGGTAAATGTGAATTTCATGGGTTTTTTATCCAATGATTTAGAAATGATAAGCACTGAAAATAACTTTGTATTTTAGCACGCATCAAGAAATTCAATAGGAGCTGGAAAACCCCCGTCACTCACAGCTCAACTCCTTCTATTATACTATCTTGTGCTGTATGAAGGATGTTCGTCTTGCCAATGCTCATGCGCATGCTCAGTCTGGAGTATCACCTCGGAGCTATTCTACCGAGTTCCTAGCCAAGCTGCCCATCAAGCACCTTCTGCAACAGGCACAGCGAGACCAACACAGCTATGCGGGTCTCTTTTCACCTTTGTTGCGTTTACTGGCTACACACTTTCCCCACCTTTCACTTGTAGATGACTGGTTGGATGAAGAGCCAGCACTGGATTTGGTTCACAATCAGAGAGACAACATAGAACTAACAGCTTTCTCCGTAGACTGTGGTATGTTGGACATTTTTCTTCTATCATGGTCCTTGAATTGTTTTTATTCTTCCTGTCCGGGTTCAAACCATTGTCGTTTTTGTCTTGCAGCCTTTAACAACCTTGCCAAGGATCCTGCCCATCTGGCTCGAGTCTTGAGAAGACTAACAGTTCTCCCTGCGACAGATGTTTGGCCTTTTGCTGATACTCTGATAAACCACTTTTCAACCATGTTAGGTGATACTGTACCCCGATACATTCAAGGTAAGTTTAAGTCTTTCAATTTTTTAAAAAAAAAAAATTATTTTAAATAATCTCATTTTCAACTCTTTTTCAATGCAGAACTGTACAGAAGAGTTTGGCTTCGTTTAAACTCGGTCTTGCCGCGTTGCTTATGGGTCATGACTATCAAGGGGCTTGTCAAAGCAAGTGACCCAATCCAACAGAAAGCACTCTGTTTAACCCAAGAAAATCTCATGCAAGATCCGCTTCAAGTTCTCCGATGTGACATCAGAGTCTTTAGGTAAATCCCATTTCAGTTGTCATTGGTGTTCTTATCTTTTGTAAACTGTACTTGTATGGAACAAGTTCCTGATTTCCTTATGTTGATATTTTCCCTGTTTTTGTAGATGCGCAGCTCTTCTTGCTATTGTGTTGAGAGTGCTGCAAGCTTCGCTTGCGGCATCCAGATCCCAATTAGCGAGGCATATTTTGGATAAGCCGTTAGTGCCAGGGAAAACAGGCCAACTTACGACTGAAACTGAGCGGGAGGAACTAAAGACTGCGCTGATTGCAACACAAGAGAGTATAGCCGTTCAAGTGCTGCTGGAAGCATGTTTGCCCACTAATGAGGATAAGGTAATGATTCGCTTTCTCTTTCTTAATTTCCATATTTCTATTTTTGACACTGATTTACGGTATATTGATCTGTTCTCTGTGCCATTTGCAGGATGTCCCGGGCCAGCTGTGGTCCTTGAGGGAGGTGAGATCTGTAGTTTGCTCTCACCTACATCAAGTCTTCATTTCCGACCCATCCTTAGCTAAATTGGTCCACTTTCAGGTAATTCTCAAACCACTCTTATGTATGTGCCAAAATCATTTTCAAAAATTTTATTCTGAATTTTTTATTTTTATTTTCAGGGTTATTCTAGACCTTTACTAGATGTGACTGTGCCGGGTATACCATCAATGCACATATGCCTTGATTTCATCCCGGAACTTCTGTCACAACCAGACCTACAAAAGCAACTTTTTGCGGTTGACTTGGTTTCACACCTCGCTGTTCAGTATGCTCTCCCCAAATCGCTTTCTGTTGCGAGGTTGGCAGTCAACACTCTTTCTACACTTCTGGGAGGTATGTTCTCTAAAGAGATTTTGATGAATATCACATTGAGGTTTCTGTTTTGTTGTTTTTTTGCCCAGTCAGTATTTGTCAACACTGTCTTTGAATTATTTTCTTACAGTTCTACCCAACAATAGCAGAGTCAAGTTATACGGTAGAGCTCTTCCGGCGCTGGTGAGGATTTGTCGAGCCCTGCCACCACTCATTGATGATGTCGTGTCCCTTCTAATGCAACTAGGTCGAGTGTGCATGGCAGTTGCCTCTCTGGACACAGGATCTAGTGCCTCTGCCATACGTTATCAGTCGACGATGAATTGTGCAAAGTATGAGCAGTCCCTTAAGTTCAGTCACCAGCTTCTTTGTTTGCAAATCCAACAGGCTTTCTCTGAAATTCTAGAGAGAGCAGTTCTCAGCACAAATGTGTATTGAGGTTTTCTCCAAATTATTTCCTTAAATCATATCAATTGTGTTCGTTTGTGATTTTAATGTATAGGTTGTATTTATGAAGGTTTTGCTGGACAAAGCTCTACTTGCTGTTACTGTACAATAAAATGTTCGTCTATGAAGTAAGAGTGGATGTGATGAGTTTGTTTGTTACCACATTACATTTTGTCTATGTACCTGGTTAAAATACTTGCAAAGTATTTAAGCAACAATTGACCAATTAAAATTAAGAAAATGTGCGCTATGTGTGTAAATATTTAATTAGAGGCATGTGGGACTGTCTTCTTCTACTCAAAATTCTTGTGAAGAATCAAACCTGTAATGAAGCTAAGTTATATGATGGAGGCTTAAGTGCATACAAAATAACCCACCAGATTCTGTATTTTTTTTTTCATTTAATTTTCATCAATTATGTTATAGTTAATGTGCACATAAATTTAGTTCTCTACCAGAGATCAAGGCATGTGAGTTTAAGTCTGCTAATTGTATAAGTGTACTTATGTAAGTAATGTAAGTGGAATGTACTGTATATTTTTAATTGTGATTAAAAAAACTGTGTTTAAATTTGACTTGTATTTTCTTCCCCATTTCCTATCTTCCTACTTGCCGGCAGCCATGCTAAAAGTCAGCTTCCCAAAGAGAAAGTTCTGTCGAAGCAATATCTTCCTCCTTGCCGCTTGTGTCAAAATTCGACATATCAGTGGGACCCGATACCTTGAAACCAAAAACACAAAGTGCATTGCTATAGAAACTTCAATATCGGAACCACGACATCATAATGGGAGAGGGAGGGACCACTATACCTGTGGTACTATGGGTGGCCGCAGAGTTTGCTGGACCAATCCTTCCCAGTCAAATCCCTGGAACCACCTGTGTGGACAAGCCACAGATAAATTATGCAGTACTTGCACTTTACTCAGTCAAAAATCTCACCAACTAAACTTCAAAAAAAAAAATGGGAAAAAAAAAAAAAAGAGCAAGCACCGAAAGATGACCGTGACTAGGACGCACTTGTGCTGGCGGACGTCCTGGAGGCCGGCGCGCTGGTAGCCGAGCCGCTCGGCGGGCGCGGGCCGGCACAGCCTGCGGATGAGGTGGGCGGCAACCCTGCCCACCGCCCTGGGCATGGCCACGGCCTCGATGCCCTTCAGGATGAGGTTGTACGTGCGCATCGGGTCCGCACCAGTGAACGGCGGCCTGCAGACAGGACAAGGACACAGGGGCTCTCACTCGGGTTCAAGTTGAAACGCATTTCACAGTGGCGCGACTTACGCCCCCGTCAGCAGCTCGAAGATGAGCACGCCCAGGGCCCAGCAGTCCACGGCGCGGTCGTGGCCTCGGTTCAGGATCACCTCGGGGGCCACGTACTCCGGCGTGCCGCAGAAGGTCCACGTCTTGCTGCTGCTCACCAGCCGCTTGGAGAAGCCGAAGTCGACCTGTCGAACCGCAGGGCAGTAGACCCGTGGAGGCGGCCAAAGACGCGTTTCGAGCTCCAGAGTCGCTAAATGGGACTCGAACCGAACGTGTGACCCCACCAATGGATTCCTCGTTCGGAGAGCAATCCATTGGTGGGGTCACTCGTTCGGTTCGAGCTCCGTTTTAGCGACTTACCAGCTTGACGTAGCCGCGCGCGTCCAGGACGAGGTTCTCGGGCTTGAGGTCGCGGTACACGACGCGCCGGGCGTGCAGGTAGTCGACGGCCTGCACGACGCACGCCACCGCGAACCGGGCCTCGTGCTCGTCCAGACTGCCGCGCTCGCGCAGCATGGACCACAGCTCGCCGCCGAGGCACGCCTCCAGCAGCATGTACACGCACAGGTCGTCGCGGAACGTGCGGAACAGCCTGCGACACGGAGGTCACGGGTTCAAATCCCAGTTTGAGTGCCATTTTCGGTGGGCGACGAGCGGCTTGCCTGACGATGAACGGGCAGTGGATGGACAGGAGGATGTCCTTCTCGCCCAGGACGTGGTCCTGCTGGCCCGTCGCCACCACGTGGTTCTTGTTGAGGCACTTGAGGGCGTAGCTGTGGCCGCCGGGGGCGAGCACGAGGCGCACGGAGCCGAAGCCGCCCACGCCCAGTGTGCCAACCACGTGCAGGTCCTCCAGCCGCAGCAGCTGCACCTCCAGGTCTGCGGGCCGGACCGGCGGAGGCGGTCAAAATTCCAGACGCGTTTTGAGCCCCCGAGTCGCAAAACAGGACTCGAACCGGACGTGCGACCCCACCAATGGATTGCTCTCCGAACGAGGAATCCATTGGTGGGGTCACACGTTCGGTTCGAGTCCTGTCCGAGCGAGCTGCAGCCCACCTGACGGACCTGACGGCGACAAGTCGCTCGAGTGCACGCTGAAGGCGGAGGACGTCCGGGACAGCTGGCGGTTGTCGTCGCCGTAGTCCTTCTCCGTGAGCTCGCTCAGGGAGCCGATCAGGGACAAGAAGGACCTGGAAGACGAGGGCGGGGGTTGGCAGGCGGAGGCAGGCAAAGGCAAACCTTGTGAGACTCACTCCCTGTCCAGCGTGAGGCACTCGACGCCCGGCGCCGTGGCGACCACGCTGGCCGTGCGGTGGTCGTCGTGCAGCAGCGCCTGCTCCCCGAAGTAGTCCCCGCGGCCCAGCGTGCGGATCACCACCTCGTCCGTGGAGCCTGCCGAACGCCCAATGGCGCCAAACGGGGGAAAGTTTGAAGTTTGTTTCGTCGCGCTGTCCCTCTCGCAACCCTACGGGACGCCGCCGGCCTGCGGAGCGCCCGCGGAACGGCGGCTAGGCTGTCCCGCCACGCAGCCGCGCCCCGAGTTGCCTACCCTCCGGGCGCTCGGCAGGCTGAGGTAGGCAACCCTCCCGACTCTGCGCACAGTGTACACGCACCTGGCACTCGCTGCGTCACCTCCACGGTGCCCCCGCTGATGATGAAGAAGGTGTGCCCGGTCGCGCCCTGCCTGACGATGTAGCTGCCCGCGGGGTAGAACTCCTGCATCAGCACAGACGGACACCACTTAGACCGACTCCGAACAGCGCGCTGTCGCGTGGTCACGCAACAGAGACAGAGACTCACCACCTCCAGGACGTCGGCGACCTTGCTGAGGGTGCCGTCGGACAGGTGCTTGAGGAGGGGCACGCTCGTGAGGAAGCTCATGTTCTCCTCGATGCGCTGGATGCCCGTGCGCATCATGATCTGCTGGAACACCTTGCGGTCCAGCACCCACACCTGGAGGTCGGTGACGGCTGGCGCCAGAATCGACCGTTTCAGTCAGTAGCAGGGTCTTCTTTCAGTTTTAATTTTTTTTAGGGGGCGAAAGTGCGTCACCACTTGTACCTCGAATGCTGGCGGTGCGCGTGCAGTTGTACAGGATGGCCAGCTCGCCGAACGCCTTGCCGGGGCCCATGCGGCCCAGGACCGTCCCCTCCTTGAGGACCTCCATCTCGCCCTCGGCCAGCACGTACAGGTGGCAGCCTGCGACACACGGTCCTCACTTTCCGCGCGCCGCCGCGAGTGCGAGAGAGAGGGGGGCAGTCTCTGTCTCTCTCTCTGTCTCTCTCGCCAGGGGAAAAGGGTCCTCCCGACGGCGCAGGGTGCGGCCTGACACTCGCCAACACTCTCTGGGGCTGCGGCCCGCCGGCCCCGTCGCCGTGAGTGCGAGGGAGAGAGACAGAGCCGCGTTCTCTCTCGCACTCACGGCGCCGCCCACCCTCCAGGGCCCTCCAGGGCCGTCCAGGGCAAGAAGCGCCGCGGGTCACGCACGGCCAGATAGAGGGGTGTGCCCGTCCACATTACGTCATTATCGCGCGAGAGGACCTTGTCCGCGCTGGGAAGTTAGGTTAAGGTCGGAAAGTGGGTGGACTGGGCGGTTCGCGGTTCGCACAGCGACCTTGCGACGCGGGGCACACTGCCGCACGCTGGCCGTCGCGTGGCACTGCGAGTACCCACCTGCCTCCCCCTCCCGGATGACGTAGCTCCCCCGCGTCACGCTCTGGGGGTACATGCAGTCCACCAGCTCGCGGATCTGGCCGCGCGACAAGTTCTTCAGGAAGTCGTTGTCCAGGATGGCGGCCTTGATGAGCTGCTGCGACCTGCGCGACCGATTCGGTTACACTCTGCGGGAGCGCGCGGGGGCAGCGACGGGCAGCGAGGGAGGGAGCCGCACCTGAAGTCCTTCGGGAAGGTGGTCTGCGTGACGGCGGAGCTGCCGGGCACCGAGCTCTCCCCGGAGACGCCCTGCTTCTTGGAGGCCGGCGCGGAGGCCGGCGCGGCCGAGGCCGAGGCGCTAGAGGGCGCGGGCACGGCGCAGCCCCCGCCGGCCCGGCCGCCCGCCATGGCGTGGCGCGCCTGCAGCGACGTCAGCAGGATGCCCTCCTTGGCCTCCGCGCCCACCGCGCCGTCCTCCACGCCGTCCTCGACGCCGTCCTGGGAGAAGCTGGTGGCCTGCTGCAGCACGCTCTGGAGGAAAGACGAAGGAAAAAGCGTTGGCAACCACCGGGACTCGAACCCGCGTCCCACCGTCAAGCAGGCCGTGGCCGGCCGCTCTGGTCCGCTCACCCGCAGCTTGTGGATCTCCCGCCGCAGCCGCAGCTCCTCGGCCCTGCGCGCCTGCAGCTCCCTGCGCAGGCCCAGCACCTCCATCTCCAACGCCACCACGTCCCAGCCCGGCGACAGCTGCAACCCGAGGGCCAAACCTCCTACACCGTAGTTCGTTTGGGCAAGCTGGTTCCTTCCATATGAGGCACGCACCTGCGCGTTGGCGGTCGCGGTGCCGGCCCTGGCGGTGGCCTTGGAGGCGCTGTCCGCGCGCCCGGTGGAGCCCCGCAGCCCGTTGACGGCGTTGACGGCGTTGAGGGCGGCGAAGGTGCGGCCGACGGGCTGGCTGTTCCTGGCCGCCACCTGCACCAAGCTGGTGCGCAGGGACTGCCCCGCCGACGCGGTCTTCCTCCGGGACGCCCTGGCCGGCGAGGCGCTGTGCGCGCGCTTGTGGGCCCCGCTGGGGTCCGCGGGGGCGGCGCTGGCCTTGGCGGGGGCCGGCCCGGGGGCGGGCTGCCGGTCCCTGCTGTGGGGGCGGCTCGGCCCGCAGGCCCCGCAGGCGTCCAAGGCCGGCGCCGCCCCCGGCCGCGGGCCGCACGCACTGCAAGCAGACCGTCGCGGCGACTCCGGGGTCATCCGGCGGCGGGCCGCGCCGTCCGACGTCGAGGACGACGACGAGGACACGGTCGCCGAGGGTGTCCGCGGGGGCGGCGTGGCGGCGCGCTCCAACGGCGACCTCGGCCGCGAGGACACGCTGCCGCGTCGCGCCCGCGCGTCCGAGGACGCCGACGACGCCGTCGACGGGGACGTCCTGCCCTGGGGCACGCCCTGCGGCACGCCGGCAGCGCTACTGGCGGCGCTGCTGGAACGGCTGCTCTGCAAGGAACACGGCGGATAGAGTGGCGCCAGATCTCCAAATTTTATTTCAGTTACTGTCCCAGTTACAGCTGCTCGGTGCTCACCGTAGTGTTGGCGGGGAGGCTTCCTTTCGCGCCGGGCGTGGCCAAGGATGCCGTCTTCGCGGCGGTGGACGGCGGCGCCGACGGCCGGCCCACGACGGCGGCCTTGGCGACGCCTGGCTTGCTCTCCGAGGTCGCCGATGAGGCACCTGCGTTGGTGGAGGAAGGCGACTTGGTCGTGGATGGTGGCTGTACGTTTGCTGGAGTGTCGGAGCGTGTTGAGGGTGGCTGCACGTCTGCTGCAGAGCCAGCGCGTGTTGAGGGTGGCTGTACGTTTGCTGCAGTGTCAGAACGTTTTGAAGGTGGCTGTACGTTTGCAGCAGTCTCAGAACGTTTTGAGGATGGCTGTACGTTTGCAGCAGTGTCAGGGCGTGTGGAGGGTGGCTGTACGTTTGCTGCAGTGTCGGAGCGTTTTGAGGGTGGCTGTACACTCGCTGCTGCGGCTGCAGCCGGACGATAGGGCTTGTTGTCGGTACTTTGGTCTCCGCCTCGCTGGGTCGCTGACAGGTCGCGTTGTTCCTTGTCAGCTCGTACTCCTGCTGCACCTGGAGTCTCAGTCCCCGCCGCCCTGCCCTGGCCTTGGCCGCCCTCGTTGTTCTGACCGGCCTTGTTGGGCCCCACATTTTTGCTATCTTGCTCCGCCACCCTGAAGCGAACTTTATCCTGCTCTTGATCTCGGGACTTACTCTCCGGATTGTCCTGCAGTGCGTTTCTGGCGCGAAAGGGCTGAGTCTCTTCTTTCGCAGGTTTAGGAAGCTTCGTTTCCTGCTGGAGGTCTTTGACTGGCATTTTCTCTTGGAATGGCATCCTTACCGGCTCTCTGCCTGGAACCCTGTCCTGCCTTATTTCATTCTCTTGCTCCTTGAATGCCGCCCTGTCTTGCTGCTGGGTCGGCCCTCTCTCTTGCTCCTTGAATGCCGCCCTGTCTTGCTGCTGGGTCGGCCCTCTCTCTTGCTCCTTGAATGCCGCCCTGTCTTGCTGCTGGGTCGGCCCTCTCTCTTGCTCCTTGAATGCCGCCCTGTCTTGCTGCTGGGTCGGCCCTCTCTCTTGCTCCTTGAATGCCGCCCTGTCTTGCTGCTGGGTCGGCCCTCTCTCTTGCTCCTTGAATGCCGCCCTGTCTTGCTGCTGGGTCGGCCCTCTCTCTTGCTCCTTGAATGCCGCCCGGTCCTGCTCCAGGCCCAGTGGGGCCCTCAGCGGCGCCCCCACGGCGTAGGGCCGCAAGCTGGGCCCCTGGTCCAGGGCCCGGAAGTGGCGGTCGTCGTCCTGGAGTTGCTGGAGGCCCTGGAGGCCCTGGGCGACGAGGCTGCCCCGGCGGGGCTCCGCGGCCGCCACCCCGCCCACCACCTTCTCGGCGTGCGGCAGGGAGGCGGCGCGGGCGGCGGGGGCGTGCGGGGGCGGCGTGGCGGGGCGCGGGGGCTGTCGAGGCGCGTCCTTCTGCTTTCTGTCCTTCTCTTTCTCCTTCTCCATGTCCGGCTTGCTGCGGCCCCAGTGCAGCAGGCTCTCCAACTTGTCGCACTTCTGTCGGATGCGCTCGATGGCGGACTTCTTGGCGGTCTTCCTCACCTCCCCCTCCCCCTCCCCCTTGTCCTGATTATCACCGCCTTGCTCTTGCAGTGGCGGCGCAAGCAGCGCCGCGCCGAAGTCCTCGGTCACGCTCAGCGTCAGGGAGACGGTCCTGCCGAGCACAGCGATCACACAGTGATTGAAGAAGACCGGTGGAGGCGGCCAAAACTCTAGACGCGTTTTGAGCTCCAGAGTCGCTGAATGGGACTCGAACCGAACGTGTGACCCCTCCAATGGATTCCTCGTTCGAAGAGCAATCCATTGGTGGGGTCACACGTTGCTTTTTACAAAAATTTTAAAAGTCTTTTCCAACTCCGAGGCTGAAATGGAATGTGTCCGTTTCTGAGTCACAGCTAATTGCGGAGCCGAGAGAGACATGCCTGCAGCGCGCGTGCCACGGCGTCCCATTCATTCCGAATCACGTCTCGCGGGGCTGATTCCGCGCAGCGCGCTCTCTCTGTCTCTCTCGCACTCGTGGGGCGTGCCGGAGGTGTGCGAGAGAGACAGAGAGGAGCACAACTGTACGGCACATCAGCCTGCTGGCGGACTGGGTTCAGCAGCATGGTCAACAACACGGTGCCTGGGACTCTCTCCGTCTCTCTCTGTCTGTCTTTCGGAGCCCTCGCGAACATGCGCGACATGCCATGTGCGCGGCCAAATAACGTCACTGTCTGTCTGTCTGTCTGTCTGTCTTTGTCTGTCTGTCTGTCTGTCTGTCTGTCTGTCTGTCTGTCTGTCTGTCTGTCTGCCCGTCCGTCCGTCCGTCCGTGCGTCCGTCACTACAAGCGAATGAAACACACACTTGCGCGTTCTGGCCGGGGCGCCGGCGTCAGCAGGTGCGATAGTGGATTCGAGGTTGCCGATGAAGCCGTCCACTGAAGCTCGCCGGTGGCGACTCAGATCCATAGCACACTGGAACACAGAGCACATAACGCGGAGCGTCAAGCAGTTGCGCGCGACGAGTGGCGCGAGGCACGACCTCACCTGGAACGCGTCCGCCGTGATTCGACCTCTCGCGACCTCTGGAGGAAAGACGAAGGAAAAAGCGTTGGCAACCACCGGGACTCGAACCCGCGTCCCACCGTCAAGCAGGCCGTGGCCGGCCGCTCTGGTCCGCTCACCCGCAGCTTGTGGATCTCCCGCCGCAGCCGCAGCTCCTCGGCCCTGCGCGCCTGCAGCTCCCTGCGCAGGCCCAGCACCTCCATCTCCAACGCCACCACGTCCCAGCCCGGCGACAGCTGCAACCCGAGGGCCAAACCTCCTACACCGTAGTTCGTTTGGGCAAGCTGGTTCCTTCCATATGAGGCACGCACCTGCGCGTTGGCGGTCGCGGTGCCGGCCCTGGCGGTGGCCTTGGAGGCGCTGTCCGCGCGCCCGGTGGAGCCCCGCAGCCCGTTGACGGCGTTGACGGCGTTGAGGGCGGCGAAGGTGCGGCCGACGGGCTGGCTGTTCCTGGCCGCCACCTGCACCAAGCTGGTGCGCAGGGACTGCCCCGCCGACGCGGTCTTCCTCCGGGACGCCCTGGCCGGCGAGGCGCTGTGCGCGCGCTTGTGGGCCCCGCTGGGGTCCGCGGGGGCGGCGCTGGCCTTGGCGGGGGCCGGCCCGGGGGCGGGCTGCCGGTCCCTGCTGTGGGGGCGGCTCGGCCCGCAGGCCCCGCAGGCGTCCAAGGCCGGCGCCGCCCCCGGCCGCGGGCCGCACGCACTGCAAGCAGACCGTCGCGGCGACTCCGGGGTCATCCGGCGGCGGGCCGCGCCGTCCGACGTCGAGGACGACGACGAGGACACGGTCGCCGAGGGTGTCCGCGGGGGCGGCGTGGCGGCGCGCTCCAACGGCGACCTCGGCCGCGAGGACACGCTGCCGCGTCGCGCCCGCGCGTCCGAGGACGCCGACGACGCCGTCGACGGGGACGTCCTGCCCTGGGGCACGCCCTGCGGCACGCCGGCAGCGCTACTGGCGGCGCTGCTGGAACGGCTGCTCTGCAAGGAACACGGCGGATAGAGTGGCGCCAGATCTCCAAATTTTATTTCAGTTACTGTCCCAGTTACAGCTGCTCGGTGCTCACCGTAGTGTTGGCGGGGAGGCTTCCTTTCGCGCCGGGCGTGGCCAAGGATGCCGTCTTCGCGGCGGTGGACGGCGGCGCCGACGGCCGGCCCACGACGGCGGCCTTGGCGACGCCTGGCTTGCTCTCCGAGGTCGCCGATGAGGCACCTGCGTTGGTGGAGGAAGGCGACTTGGTCGTGGATGGTGGCTGTACGTTTGCTGGAGTGTCGGAGCGTGTTGAGGGTGGCTGCACGTCTGCTGCAGAGCCAGCGCGTGTTGAGGGTGGCTGTACGTTTGCTGCAGTGTCAGAACGTTTTGAAGGTGGCTGTACGTTTGCAGCAGTCTCAGAACGTTTTGAGGATGGCTGTACGTTTGCAGCAGTGTCAGGGCGTGTGGAGGGTGGCTGTACGTTTGCTGCAGTGTCGGAGCGTTTTGAGGGTGGCTGTACACTCGCTGCTGCGGCTGCAGCCGGACGATAGGGCTTGTTGTCGGTACTTTGGTCTCCGCCTCGCTGGGTCGCTGACAGGTCGCGTTGTTCCTTGTCAGCTCGTACTCCTGCTGCACCTGGAGTCTCAGTCCCCGCCGCCCTGCCCTGGCCTTGGCCGCCCTCGTTGTTCTGACCGGCCTTGTTGGGCCCCACATTTTTGCTATCTTGCTCCGCCACCCTGAAGCGAACTTTATCCTGCTCTTGATCTCGGGACTTACTCTCCGGATTGTCCTGCAGTGCGTTTCTGGCGCGAAAGGGCTGAGTCTCTTCTTTCGCAGGTTTAGGAAGCTTCGTTTCCTGCTGGAGGTCTTTGACTGGCATTTTCTCTTGGAATGGCATCCTTACCGGCTCTCTGCCTGGAACCCTGTCCTGCCCTTTTATTTGCATCATCTCTTGCTCCTTGAATGCCGCCCTGTCTTGCTGCTGGGTCGGCCCTCTCTCTTGCTCCTTGAATGCCGCCCTGTCTTGCTGCTGGGTCGGCCCTCTCTCTTGCTCCTTGAATGCCGCCCTGTCTTGCTGCTGGGTCGGCCCTCTCTCTTGCTCCTTGAATGCCGCCCTGTCTTGCTGCTGGGTCGGCCCTCTCTCTTGCTCCTTGAATGCCGCCCTGTCTTGCTGCTGGGTCGGCCCTCTCTCTTGCTCCTTGAATGCCGCCCTGTCTTGCTGCTGGGTCGGCCCTCTCTCTTGCTCCTTGAAAGCCGCCCGGTCCTGCTCCAGGCCCAGTGGGGCCCTCAGCGGCGCCCCCACGGCGTACGGCCGCAAGCTGGGCCCCTGGTCCAGGGCCCAGAAGTGGCGGTCGTCGTCCTGGAGTTGCTGGAGGCCCTGGAGGCCCTGGGCGACGAGGCTGCCCCGGCGGGGCTCCGCGGCCGCCACCCCGCCCACCACCTTCTCGGCGTGCGGCAGGGAGGCGGCGCGGGCGGCGGGGGCGTGCGGGGGCGGCGTGGCGGGGCGCGGGGGCTGTCGAGGCGCGTCCTTCTGCTTTCTGTCCTTCTCTTTCTCCTTCTCCATGTCCGGCTTGCTGCGGCCCCAGTGCAGCAGGCTCTCCAACTTGTCGCACTTCTGTCGGATGCGCTCGATGGCGGACTTCTTGGCGGTCTTCCTCACCTCCCCCTCCCCCTCCCCCTTGTCCTGATTATCACCGCCTTGCTCTTGCAGTGGCGGCGCAAGCAGCGCCGCGCCGAAGTCCTCGGTCACGCTCAGCGTCAGGGAGACGGTCCTGCCGAGCACAGCGATCACACAGTGATTGAAGAAGACCGGTGGAGGCGGCCAAAACTCTAGACGCGTTTTGAGCTCCAGAGTCGCTGAATGGGACTCGAACCGAACGTGTGACCCCTCCAATGGATTCCTCGTTCGAAGAGCAATCCATTGGTGGGGTCACACGTTGCTTTTTACAAAAATTTTAAAAGTCTTTTCCAACTCCGAGGCTGAAATGGAATGTGTCCGTTTCTGAGTCACAGCTAATTGCGGAGCCGAGAGAGACATGCCTGCAGCGCGCGTGCCACGGCGTGCCATTCATTCCGAATCACGTCTCGCGGGGCTGATTCCGCGCAGCGCGCTCTCTCTGTCTCTCTCGCACTCGTGGGGCGTGCCGGAGGTGTGCGAGAGAGACAGAGAGGAGCACAACTGTACGGCACATCAGCCTGCTGGCGGACTGGGTTCAGCAGCATGGTCAACAACACGGTGCCTGGGACTCTCTCCGTCTCTCTCTGTCTGTCTTTCGGAGCCCCTCGCGAACATGCGCGACATGCCATGTGCGCGGCCAAATAACGTCACTGTCTGTCTGTCTGTCTGTCTGTCTGTCTGTCTGTCTGTCTGTCTGTCTGTCTGTCTGTCTGTCTGTCTGTCTGTCTGCCCGTCCGTCCGTCCGTCCGTGCGTCCGTCACTACAAGCGAATGAAACACACACTTGCGCGTTCTGGCCGGGGCGCCGGCGTCAGCAGGTGCGATAGTGGATTCGAGGTTGCCGATGAAGCCGTCCACTGAAGCTCGCCGGTGGCGACTCAGATCCATAGCACACTGGAACACAGAGCACATAACGCGGAGCGTCAAGCAGTTGCGCGCGACGAGTGGCGCGAGGCACGACCTCACCTGGAACGCGTCCGCCGTGATTCGACCTCTCGCGACCGCTTCTGACCAGTCCCAGTGCCAACCGCAGACTGACCGAAGCGGCGCCCTCACGCTGCGAGAGTAGGTGGCGAAAGGCTCAATAAAAGCAATAAAAGTAGTAAAACCGTGAAGCAGGGCGGGTTTCGGCGGCGGAAGCTACACTAGAAACACCTGTCACGGGAAGTCTCTCTGCCCCCCCCCCCTCCCCCTTCTCTCTGACCCATTGACCGGTCGGAAACGCATATCCTTCCAAGAAGATACAGAGAAGCCGTAGTGACCCTGCAAGGCCCTGCAAGGTCGATCCTAGAGGACGCGGCCGGATGGCCGGAAGTTCGTTTCGAAATCACGGTGAAACAGGATCCACCGCGAGCGCACGCTGAAAGCGACCCAAATCTAATAAACAAAAACAAAAAGCGGGGGAAAAAACAGAATTCAGGAACACTTTGTGTGAGTCAATTTATTTACTGCCGCATAATAATTCGGCAAGGTTCATCCTTCGCTGAGCGACTGTCCGTCGGTTTGGACGCAATGGACGCAATGGGTGCGACAGAGACGGAACGCTGCCACGCGCTTGGGGCCGGCGGGGCCCGTCGGGACCAGCTTCGCGTGTCACGGACGTATTTAGGGGCGTAAAGCCCACCCACAGCGACCCCGTGGCAAGGTGCGTGAGCGTGTGTGGGGAGGGAGGGGGGGGCCTCGAAACTTAATTGATGACTTCTCACGACTCCCGGTTGTATATTTTCATGTCGAATCATTTCTCTCTCCCGCTCTGAATCCGACGTACGGTGCGTCATTTCTCGAAAAAAAATAAGCGCGCTACTGTATTCACTTTTACGAGGAGCAGGTCTCCGTCGTCGACCTTGATAAACATCACGCAAAAAAATAAAAGTCAGTCCTGAGCTAACTTTCTTAGTTGGCGTTTTTTAGCACCACAGCTAAAAAAATTGCAACTCTGCTAGCGACCTCTGCTGAGTAGCGCTGCTCCTTTAGTTGAGGGTCTGCCGGAGATCGGCTCTCCCGGAACCTATATTTCTGGAGGATTCAGCTACTTCAGTTTGCTGCAGTGCTAATCAATCGCTGCAAAAATGGGATTTACAATGCAGCAAAAATGTTTAGGAGATAGGGCAAGGCTAGGTTCGTTCCGTGGCGCTTCGCTCGCGCTGATGGCTAGCAGTGAGAGATGGGTTAGTCGGGGAACGGATGCTCCCCACGTTCTCACCGTGACATCACCCATGGTCAGCAATTTTTAAAGTCTCTTGAGACACGACTGACCCGGAGGAGCCTTACGCCTCAGGACGACTGGACCGTCTTAGACAGAAAATCCCGCACCTTCTAATAAATATCATAATCATGAAGAATTCTACAATGCTAATGCAGCTAGAGTTGCCACTAATCTCCGTTTTCTCCATAGCTAAATTTACCCAGCTAATAATTTTTAGCTGTGCAGCTAAAAAATTTGCTGGGCCTACAGAGCTAGATAAATTAGCACTGGTGCTAACTTTTTAGCTCTGAATCGATTTATTTTTTTGCGTGATGTCCGTCACTCCCTTCTACTCACGACGCATTTTCCCGCGAGGCCGCCGGACTTCCGGCGCCGCGTCGTCTGCTACGTCGTCTGCTGCGTCGTCTGCTCGCGGCTGGCGTGTCCGGCGCCGTCACCGTCCCCCCTCTGACTGATGGGTCGCCATGGCGTCGCGACGCCGGGCGCCGCGCCTCTGGGGCGTCATCGTCGTCGTCCCGAGTGACGTCGTCGTCCGCCACGGCCTGCACGGCCAGCGCCGCGAGCGCCGCCCCATTTGACGCGCAGGGTGTTTTGGCGGGAAAGCGCGCCGCCAAATTTGGCGGGAAATGGGTCGCCGTTTGAAGTGCGTCGTTGGCGCCGCGTGGCGAGGCCGCGCCGCGGCTCGCTCGGTCTCTGTCGCACTCACGGGGCGCCCCGTAGGACCCTAGGGGTGCGAGAGAGACAGACGCTGTGCGGAATGAGTCTGCGGGCCGCCGATAATAGGTCCCAGGTGCTAACAGGGACGTCTTGGTCATCCTTGACCTCGCGTTCTTCGCCGCTTCGCCGCCGCCACAATCCCTGTGGTCATCGCGGTCCTCGCGGTCGTCGTCCACAGCTACGCCGTGCCCCGCAGCCCACCACGAATTCTGGCGTCAAGTTGGGCCGCTTCGTTGCCGCAAGCGAGGACATTGCGCTGTGTCCGCGCGGCGCGCTGATGGGAATACCCCTCGCCGCCCGCTGCCGCGCAGATACCCCGTGCCGGCAGAGACGCCGCGCGTGGAGACTCTCGCCGCCGCCAGAGGGCAGGAGCGCTGCGTTTCGCTGTTGGCGGGCCAGAGCCGGCAGAGCTTCCCTCTCTCAAGAGCAGCCAATCGCAGTTGAGTCGGTCGTTCGACAGACGCCGCTTGAACATGGGACTCTAACCGAACGTGTGACCCCACCAATGGATTCCTCGTTCGGAGAGCAATCCATTGGTGGGGTCACACGTTCGGTTCGAGGCCCATTCAGCGACTCTGGAGCTCAAAACGCGTCTAGAGTTTCGGCCGCCTCCACCGGTCTTCTGGCAAATCCACTGCGCTTCCGCCGTGCATCCGCCCTCCGCTTTCCCAAATTCCCGGCAGATGTGTCTCACTTTCCCGATGCAGAAACGAGGAGCGGCTGGCCGAAGGTCCCGAAGGGCGCCGAAGGGCCGAAGCCCGAAGGGCGGAGGGGCGGCCCGAGACAAAGGCACTGCCCGTCTCTCTCGCACTCGTGGGGCGGCCCGCCCCGCTCCGGCCCGTTCCGCGCGGGTGCGAGAGAGACAGAGCGATGCCGTTTAGCCGGGCCGGAAGTGCGCCGGGGAATAAGCCGTAAAACAGGAATGAATGAATGAGGCGTCTCTCTCTCTCTCTCTCTCTCTCTCTCTTCTCTCTCTCTCTCTCTCTCTCTCTCCTCTCTCTCTCTCTCTCTCTCGCTCCTCTCTCTCTCTCTCTCTCTCTCTCTCTCTCTCTCTCTCTCTCTCTCTCTCTCTCTCTCTCTCTCTCTCTCTCTCGCACCCCCACTAGTGCGAAGGAGACGCCAGCTCTGCGGAAAGAACGGGGAGTGAGAAAAACCGCGGAGGAAACGGACAAGAGCGCAAGTGCGACGGATAGCGAAGAACGGCGGAGAAAGGCGCAGAGGGGCCGAAGAGCGACGCCCGGACACAGTGGGCCAGAAGACCGGTGGAGGCTCTAGGCGCGCGTTTTGAGCTCCAGAGTCGCTAATGGGACTCGAACCGGACGTGTGACCCCACCAATGGATTCCTCGTTCGGAGAGCAATCCGTTGGTGGGGTCACACGTTGGGTTTCGAGGCCCATTTAGCGACTGTGGAGCTCAAAACGCGTCTGGAGTTTTGGCCGCCTCCACCGGTCTTCTGGCCCACTGTGCGGCCCCGCCACTGGCTTTGGAAATTCGCGCCCCCTCCCCCCTCCACTCCCCCGCCACGGCCGCTGCGTGCATCCGAACGGCGCCATTAAGGGCTTTAGGGTGCATGGCGGGAAGCAGACTGTTACAAATGTCAAAAACGGTGAGCGAGCCGAGCCCCCCACCCCTTTCTTCTGTTTCGATAAAAATCTTGTGCAAAGTGGGGCTAGTTCATGATCCCTCGCAGGCGGAGTGGGCCCCGTTTATGATTCTGCTTATCTGTGCATCGGCCGAGCCACTGTTGGCGCGTCCTAGCGGCAGGAATTGCAGTGCCGCAGTGTTTGCCCGCCTGGGCGCGCCTGGGACTTCCACCCACTTCCATAATGCAGCAGGATCTCGACTCACTCGGCGTCTTGCCGTTTCGCTGTTTACGGCAAAGATGACGTGTCGGCCGCGCTGATAGGACGCGACTGCCGGCGAAGTAGCAACATTTTGCACTCACAGTGGGCCGGTAGACCGGTGGAGGCGGTCAAAATCCGGGACGGGTTTTAGCTCCTTTGTCTTTGAAAAATCGTGTTTTGGACCGACTTTAAGCAGCCACTGTGTCTGATCCGAGGCGGTATTTCGTACTCCCTCAACGGGCATTTGAGGTTTGGACCTCCCTTTAGCATGCCTTTGTTACGGAGTGCGATTATTCACCTTAGTTTCGGAGCAGTATTGTCTCAAAGTTGATCAAAACGGTCACAAATGTCTTAGAAAAACGTGTTCTGGACCAATCGATTCATGTGTCATCGATCCACGACGGGTTTGTCCAGGCGGCCGATAGTGCCTTTCCCTCTGAAGCGACACAAGGAGTCTTGCCCCGGAAACGTGCATATCCGTCTCCGATTCCTGAAACAAACGTGGAGCAGGGCACGGCCTGGCGCACAGTGGGCCAGAAGACCGGTGCGGCCAACACTCTCGACGCGTTTTGAGCTCCAGAGTCGCTAAATGGGCCTCGAACCGAACGTGTGACCCCACCAACGGATTGCTGTCCGAACGAGCAATCCATTGGTGGGGTCACACGTTCGGTTCGAGTCCTGTTTAGCGACTCTGGAGCTCAAAACGCGTCCGGGGTTTTGGCCGCGTCCACCGGTCTTCTGGCCCACTGTGCGCCGCGAGCGTGCCGAGCTGTTTACCGTACTAGTCATGCATTCCGTGACCCGCCGTAAGCGGCGCGCCGTCCATGTGGTGGCTTTCCTGGGGTAATATCGCCGCTACTCTACAAGGAGTTGCATCTCTTTCCCTCCCCACCGCGGGGCTCTAGGTGCTCTAGGTGCTCTAGGCGGTCTGTCTTCCCGGAGGCGTATCTTCGCGGCTATCGCCGCCCGCGCCGCCCGCATAGCGTACTCCTTTGTGGTGGCGACACCGTTCAGGGAACACGCCGCCAAGAAAAAAACAACAAGAACAAGAACAACAAGAACAACAACAAGAACTAGGTCGGAATACGTTTCAAGACAATGTCTGCGGCGTACAGTGACCGGTAGTGACCGTATTTATCGAATCTTCCGCTGGCCATCTTCTTTTTTTCCAGTGCAGCGGTCTTTTCGCGCCACTTGGCGAGAACCCTCTCCCCGTTTCCCTTCATCGGGATGCAAATTCGTGTGAAAATATTCGCCATTTGCCGCTACTCCGTTCGCCGCGCTCGCCCCGTGCTTTGCTCATTAGCACCTCCTTCCTCCCGATTCCGATTTCTCCCCGGGTTTTCTTTTTCCCCTCCGCCGTCTCTCTCGCACCCGCGGCCCAGTGTCGTAGGGTGCCTAGGGGTGCGAGAGAGACGCAGCGACACTGTGCCCGGCTGTGCCGAGCCGCCGCTCCTGGCTGACGCGCTGCGACGCCACGTCGACGAGCCTCACTTCATGGAATAACCTCATGTCGTTTGCAATGCGCGCGCGATGTCCGCGGGGCGTGGCGGGGCGGGGCGGGGTGGGGCGGGGCGTCGCGAGGCGGGGCGTGGCGGGGCGTGGCGGGGCGTGGCGGGGCGGGGCGGGGCGTGCCGTGCCGCCGGGCCCCGTTCTGTTCATTGTGATGGTAACGCTGCGTGCGAGTGTGTGAGTGGGCCTGTCTGTGTGTGGCACTGCATGTGTTGTCGCCGTTCGCTTTTGAGCCTCATTGCCGATGCACGATTTCACGCTCGCGGCAGCGGGCCACGTGATCCGATGCCAGTTCACTGTTAAACATGATTAATCCAGAAAATATTGCTTTTCGTCGTACCGACTGGCCGCACTGCACGACTCTGCGAAAGCATAGTGAATTCCATTTCGCGAATCGGGTCGTCAACGTCAGCACCGCGAGCCAAGGCAACTGTACAGTGTCGGCAACTAAAATTTAAAAAATCAAACAATAACTAAAGAAAAATTCTCGAGTTTGTTGCAAAATCTCAAAATTTTTGATTTGGTTTTGTTTTTCTTAGGCGTACGCCTGTTACGTTTTCCAGTGGGATTTTCGTCATGTAAGCTGCTTACAGCCCCGCGTTCGATGTTGTCAAACACGATTTTTCAGTTCCCAACAAAACCCCTTTTTCCCCCTTTTCTTTCAAAACTGGTTTGCGTTTCCGAAACTCTTCTCTTCTCTTCTCTTCTCTCTCTCTCTCTCTCTCTCTCTCTCTCTCTCTCTCTCTCTCTCTCCCTATCCATTAGCGGCATGACAATGAGCGCGTTACCGTTTTTTCGTTTTTTCCCTCCGGCTGACCGCGCCTCCCAGCTAAACGAGAAGCCCCAAGCAGCGAGCGTGCCCATGACTATGACTCATTGACTCATGGACTCGTGGCGCCGGTGGGGGTTGAACCACTGACCTCTGTTTTCGAAAAGCGTTAGCCCCAAATTAGGGCACGGCTCTCCTCAACAAAAGCATTTGGAGGGCAGAGTAGCCACCAGCTTCAAATATATAACACGCCTTGTAATGCGTCAGTCACATCAAGAATCAAACTTTTCTTTACTTTCATGAAAAAAAAAAAAGACGCAAGAAATGGAAAATACGAAAAGAATACAAGAGCCGGCCGATTGGTCACGCAATCTGGTGACGGTTTCATTGTCATTCATATCCATTCATAAACGGCATCACATTCGTATGGAAGCGTGGCCTGTTGCTTATCAACGTGTGCGTGTGTGTATAAGAGAGATAGAAAATTTCAATAGTGAAATACATGCCGTCTTCGTTTCCTTGTCTATCTTTTTTCTCCTTCCCTCCTCCCTCCCCCCCTTCCCTTGCCGGCCTCGCTGTCCGGGGGGTAAC